TCCCACCCCCAGATAAAAGGAAAAACACCCTCTCTTGAATTCTGTGATTCTTCTCATATGCATTTTCACCCACCCTAGACAATGCCATCCCCATCAAATCTTGGTTCAGTGACCCCAGTGATACCGCCCTTCTCAACCTGCTTCCGATGCTGGATGCCCTCAGGTAAGGGAAGCTAGACATTTAGATTTCTGAGGAAAGGAGGAGGTGGGGGATCCCAAGAGGGAATAAAAGTTTGTCCTGTTTTACTTACTTATCTCTCTTCCCTTAAGAGTTTAGCATTTGAACTCAGTTTTTCTTACATTAAAGCTCATCAATTTTAGCCATTGGGTTTTGGGCAAACTAAACCCCAGTCTCATCATGTGAAAATGGCGATCATTTCTGCCCCACATCTCCAGTGAGGCTGCCCAAACACTGGTGTGAGACTGTCAACTATAAGGACTCTACCAATGCAAGTTATTGTCATCCCAGGTTCACCGCTGATGTTCGTTCTGTGCTGAGCCGAAACCTTCACCAACATAGGCTCTGGTGACAGCTGCTCCCCCTCCACCTGAGTTGGGGTGGGGGGGAAAGGGAGGGTAAGCCCTCTGGGATGCCAACTGATACCCTGTCCAATGGTGAGGACTGCCCGGGCAGGGTCTGCCCCTCCCACCCCTCTCCTCTGTATGGAGTCTGGATGGACACATGGGCCACACTCTGAAGCAGCCTCACTCTAACTTCGTGTTCGCACTCCCTGGAAACCCCAGACTGGGACATAAGCGGAAGCCTAGGAGAGCTGAAACAGTGTATCTGGTGGAGAGAGAGGACTGGCCAAAGTGAGACAGACGTTTGGTAATCCAGGAGGCTCAAAGAAAAGCCAAGCCAGCTTTGTTGTGATTTGATTTTTTAAAAACTCTTGTACAAAATTGATCTAATTCTTCACTCCAAGGGCTGGGCTGTGGGTGGGAAACTGGGATTTTGGGCCACTGGATTTTCCCCAAACATGTCCTCCCTTCCCCCATATTTTTCCATTTCCCCTTCTTACTAGATTCCCTCAGACCTGTAACCAGCCTTCTCTTTATTTTCCTTCCTCTCTTTTAAACCATGCATTATAACTTTGAAACAAAGTTGCCCTAGGTCCTTCTGTGGGATATGGGAAATGGAGGGTATCTTTGTTCACATCCACCCTGTTCCCTAGGCAGGGAGGAGAGACTGCTGTTGGTCCCGAAGCGCAGGGGCGAAAGGTGGTGGTGGCGTTGCGGGGATGGAGTAGTCAATTTCGACATCATATGCTTTGGCGCGAAGGGTCTTAAGTGATGGGATGGGTGCCTTGGCAGGGAGTGAAAGGACAGCTGTGTATGCTGAAGGAACTTGAACTTCGGGGCAGTAGGACACAGTATGAAGGGAGGAGAAACCTGGACGCAAGAAGGGCACATAGCTGGAAAAGCTGAGCTGTGACTGGGGGCTTGACGTGGACATTCTAAGCGGGCGCTGCCCCCAGGCGGCGGTGTCCAGGGCACCCGCTCAGCTGCCCGGGCCGGCTCCGCCTCTCTAGTGCCCTCCCCGAAGCCGGATCTACTTCTTCGCACCCGCCACGTGACGCTCCGCCCTTCTCTGAGATCACATGATTTCAGTGACCCATACTCTGAAAATGTCCTTCCGCGCTGACGTAGTCCCTACCTTTCGAGACCTCCTCCACGGTCCCTGTTGGCCCATTCATTCGTAGAGCTCAAGTGTTCTGAGCGTTTCTCCAAATACGTATCTCGTTTCTGTCCTTTTTTGTATCCCGATACCACCTCCCCCCTCGGGTACTACTTTGTTTTGGTGTCAACAGCCGCCTTCAGCGTATCAACACGTTTTGTGAATAGCTATCCTTGTAATGAACTCCTCTTCCCCCAAACCCCCCCGGTCCCCCATCGTTATTTCCAAAAAGAACTTTTAGAGAACGAGGTTTCAAATTATGATTACCATCTCCTAAGCCCTTTTCGTCCAGCTCCGTGGGAGAACGGTCGGAAAATAGATTTTCAGGGATTCTTTTGACAATAGCTAAAGCCAACCACCTTTGCTACGCCGCCTGCGTAGCCCACAAATTGATTCCAAAGCGATTACGCTGACGGCGTGAGGTGGAGGGGTAGTCAGTAGGGGCGTTAGGGCGGCTGCGCTAATGGCGTAACATGGCAGGCGGGAGGTCCCGGATGGTCGGGGGCGGGGTTGGTGAATAGGGAAGTGGCGTAAGTCCTGGGATCGCTCCGCTCTATCAGTCCGCGCGTCGCAGCCGTTGCCGCCGCCCCCCGTCCCGGCCCCCGCCCCCGGGATCCCTCAGCCCAGCCAGGTCCAGCCCGGTTCCCGGGAGGATGAAGTTCGTGTATAAAGAGGAGCATCCGTTCGAGAAGCGCCGCTCTGAGGGCGAGAAGATCCGAAAGAAATACCCGGACCGGGTTCCGGTGAGGACAGTAGCCTGGGCCGAGGGCGCTGGCGCTGACGCCACAGCCTGGGCTTGGGTCCGGGACGGGCAGCGCGGGCATTAGGCTGCCGCCTGTGGCGGGGTTGGGAACGAGCCCGAAACTGCTGTTACTGGGGCCGGAGGGAAAGGTAGTTGGAGAGCTGGGGGTTAGGAGATGTAGATGGGAGAGAGAGAGAGAGACCTTTGGGATTCGTTTGGAGGGCTGTAGGGAGTTTGACAGGCTGAACTTCACATGGTCATTCGCCCCAGCTAGCTAGGTTTTTGAGATTGAAGCTGTAGTCGACCCAGACAAGTCATCCACGTATGATTAAGATAGTTGTCTATGATGAGGCCCTGCTCACGGATCCTGGGTGTTTAGATGAGTTCGAATCAGTGGGGTCTGAATCTGTACTCAGGGCTGCACAGTGTGTTCAGAGACGAAGAGAAATGAGTCGGGTAGGTTTGGGCACTAGGAATATTGCTGCTTGAGTTCTTGACAGACGGGGTTGTGGGGCTGTATACCTAAGGTCTCCTAATGTTCATTTTCCCTTTTTCCAGGTGATAGTGGAAAAGGCTCCCAAAGCTCGGATAGGAGACCTGGACAAAAAGAAATACCTCGTGCCTTCTGATCTCACAGGTGGGAACCTGACCCAGTTATTCAGGTTTGCTTCTTGCTGGTGGGAGTGCATTTTCTGTGGGAGGAGGCTTAGATAGCAGCTGTTCTTTTGAGGGCATTTGTGACCTCTGCACTTTATCACACCTTGTATCTTTGGCAGTTGGTCAGTTCTACTTCTTGATCCGGAAGCGAATTCATCTCCGAGCTGAGGATGCCTTGTTTTTCTTTGTCAACAATGTCATTCCACCCACCAGTGCCACAATGGGTCAACTATACCAGGTATGGTGACTGGGAAGTTCTGGAGGTTTTGAAAAGGAGTTGGAAGAGCTTCAGGGGAAGAAATTTTAGGTCAGTAGTTCTTGGACTAGCTGGCTTGCTCAGCTTTCAATTTTATGTTTGGCCTTAATAATTCCAGATAGTCCTGGGTTGGGGGTTTGGACAGGGCAGTGGGAGTAAAGAGAGGGAGCAGTGAGCTGAAGCATCTGTTCTGATCTGGACCCCACCCCCACCCCCAGTTCCCTCCCCAGTCCAAGGCAGCAGAGAACAGTTCGTATTCTTTTTGCCTAGAACTGCTGCTAGGGATAATACACCGTTTGGCTCCTGGGGCCTAGAGGAGGTGAGGGAGAGTCAAGGCACTGATATTTAGGGTTTTCAAAAAGAATGGTTTTTAAAGAATGTGTCTGGGTGGTGGGTGGTTTAAGTAACTAAAGCCCAGGTGCCAGAGCATCATCATTTTCTGCTCTCACCCCAGGAACACCATGAAGAAGACTTCTTTCTATACATTGCCTACAGTGATGAAAGTGTCTATGGTCTGTGAAGCTGCTGCGCCTGAGGTTGGGGGGTCTTATTCTACAAAAAGAGAGGTGGCCTCCCTTCTTGACCTACTACTCCTTCAGGTTCAAACACCACCTCCCTTCTTCAGGACCTGCACTTCTTAATGCTTGAGGCCCTCCTCCAGCCTCTCAGCAGGAGGGGCTAATGGGGGAGATGGCCTCTAGTACCTCTCCTTTCTCTCTTCTTCCCCTTTCTCTACCACCTTTCCCACTCTGCTTTAGACTTCTTGATTGTCAGTCTCACATCCAGTGAGTCTTTTGGTTTCTGTTCCCCTTCTAACTGCCCAAGGGGCTCAAATCCCCAACAATCTCTTCCTCTTACTGTCTACTTTTTTGCCGGTAGATGGAAGGGACTGAATTGTCCAGGAAGGTAGGAGGCACATCAATAAAAGAGGAAACCACCAAGCTGAACTGGATTTTGCTTTGTGTTGCTCCCCTCCCCCCCTTTTTGGTCATCAGTGGTGGGGAAAGGGAGTTGGAGGGATAGTTATGTTATTTTGGTTTATTCTGTTGATGTTGGGTTTTTCCTTGTACAAAAAAGAGTGCTTTTGTTGTGACGGATGGAATACTCTTCAGTATCATTTCATGAAACTTCAGTTTTATATGCGTATTGGGTCCTGACATTAAAAAAAAAATACTGTGTTTTATTGTGGGTTCCTGTGCAGAAACTTTGAAAGTACCTAATTTAGATGAATATATCCAAGTTATAACATTTTGGATTAAGAGATTTTTGTGTGGGGAAGCTGGTAAAAGGACCCTATCTTCAGTTGCATCTCACTTAGCCAGACTGTGCGATCCAGTGGAGAGGCACCCGAGGGAGGGAGAAGACTGGATCCGGGAGCTGTTATTAGGGGAACTGCATCTCCCAGCAACCACTTCTCTGCCTGGCCGGAAATGGGGCGGACCCCTTGGGGAGAAAGAAGCTGCAGAATGAGACAGTATGGTGACTGGGAATTCTAATCCCTTTTTCCCCTTTATTAGTCCTGCGTAGCCTACACTTCCCAAGATCCTGTGCATGCCCTTCTGCTCTACCCTCTGCTCCCAATCTCCCCGCCACTCCCCGGGGGAGGGGAGCGGTCTGGTGCGCCTGCGCTGATCGTGGCTTGCTGGGAATTGAAGTTCCAGGAGCCTATGCAATCCTCTTTCCGTTGTCCCCGGAAGGACTACAAGCTCCTTGATGCATTGCGCGTATGCGCCCGCGAAAGGAGGGGGAGGAGGAGAGAGAGAGGGAGGGAGNGTATCTGGAGTTGTTGAGACCCAGAGACTAAGAAAGATGTTTTTGTTTGGGTTCCTTAAGTTGTGGAAGGGAGCCTATTCAAATTTGGGTTCCCTTTCAGGAGATGGTGCTTGTCAGTTGTAGGCTTGAATCTGAGGATACAGTTGTTTCTTCAGGAGACCTTAGCATTGTGAAAGAGTGATACTGTGGGCAGTGGATTATGTGCATATACCCAAGTATCTCTGGGTACCTCCCTTCACAGTTTTTCTTCAGGGTCAACTTTAGGCTAGCATCATTTAATGAATATGTGTTCATCATCACTGGGGAGAATCCTCTGAAGGAGTCTGGGGAGAATTCGGTGAACTGGTGTGCAGAGGTTCTTCATTTTGTACTCTTTGGCACATTTCAGTAAAACTTGAAAGAAGACCAGGCAGGGGTTGCCCAGGTCAAGGAATTTCCAGAATGCCCCGGGTGGTAGTAGTGGTTGACTTACTGATTTGGGGGAATGGGCCTGGCCTTGGATTCAGGGTCTCCTTTACCAGTCTGTTCCTTCCATTTACTGATTTTGGGTGGTAATTGTTTCTGGGTGGTCATGGTTGTAGGCAGGACTATTTCCCTGACACAAGAGTTGGGAGCCAAGAATAATTTGGGGTCAGAGATGCTGAGAAGTGTGGGGCTAGTTCTCCTTGGGTTTTCTTTACATGTTACCTGCAGTCCTCTCTGCCTGGCCTTGCTCTGAACATCCCCCTTTCATTCCTTAACATACCAGCTTTCTGTTCTGGGTATAGGAAGTACTGCTGTGGCCCATTCAGAAGCTAATTACTTGCAAAATTACTCTCCTCTGGCAGCACTGACCTCACAGCCTTTTGTCTTCCCTTCCTTCACTTCCAATTTGGTCTCTTCCCTACCCCCTTTCTGGCAGATGCTTGGAGCATTCCCTGCATGCCCAGCATGTGCAACCCGAGATAGCAGGGCAGGACACCCGAGCTGTTACAGCCCTCATCATGGGCCAGGGAGAAAAGAAGGGCAGATGCTTTGGGATTAGAGGGAGAAGAGGGTCCTTTGGTTTGCAAGGGTGGAGCCTGGTTTGGTGAGGCTCAGGGCCTAGGGATGAACTGAAGAGCATTTGTCTATGCTTAGAAGAGCAGAGCAGAGCAGAGAAGGGAATTGCCAGGCTTTGCATGGGAGAGAGATGAATGCTAAGCAATAGGAGCCTCTAGAGATGGCTGGGAAAGCTGGAAAGTTGAGGTGGGGATGTCCTTGTCCCCTCCTCACCTCTCTCTCATAGCCCTTACTTCACTTGGGCCTCTGGATAGCCTATCATTTTGCCTGGTGGGTGGGACTTTCCAGTGTTCTCTGCCTTGCCCTGGGTACCAGGATAAGGAGGCTGCTCAGAGGGCTAAGGTTCTCTGCAGCTTGTGACTTGGCTAGTAGAGACAGAAGTGGACAGGTGGCTGGTTAAAATAGGCCTGCTGGCCCCTAGCCAGGGGAACTTAGTTGACCTGACAACCCCTGGATTCCCTCCTCTGTTCCCCTTAGGGACCCAAGGATCTCCCCTCCTGACTCCTACTTCCTGTCCACTAAGGAATCTGAGGCTTTCAGTTCCTAACAGGAGGTGATGGGAGCTGTCACAAAGAATCCTTGGGATGGAGGTGGGGAGGGCTGTGCATTTCTTTGTGCAGTATAGCAGAAGAATAAATATTGGTTAAGAGGGCAGGTTCTTAGGTTGGACTACATGGGTACAATCATGGCTCCCTCACTTAATCGATTCTAATATTAACTGACCATCCTGCTACTGTGTTCTAGGAATACGGTCTTGATGGAGACAAAAATCTATGTTCTCCTTGAGTTTTCATTCTAACTGGGGGGGGACAGACAACTAAATAAGATAATTCCTAGCAGTGTGGTCTTAGGCAAGGTGTTACATCTCTCCAAGCCTCAGTTTCTTTGTTCTTAAAACAATATTAGAGTTGTTTGAGGATTAAGTGAAATAACCTTAAATCACACCATGTCCAGCATATGGTAAATGTTCAGTATGTGCTATGTATTAGCACATGTTGGGAAAGATTTCCTTGTCAAGGATTCTGATCTTTTGTCTTGCTATTCTTAGGTAATTCAGTACCAAACTGTTCGATATGATATTCTTCCCTTATCTCCCGTGTCCCGGAATCGGCTAAGTGAGTATGCTGGCTGGGAGGACTCCTTTAAGGTGAGGTAAGGGTTGGGTCTGGGCTGGAGGTTGATTGGTGTTATACCTTCCCCATGTGCTTCAGGCCAGGTGAAGAGGAAGATCCTGGTGCTGGATCTGGATGAAACGCTTATTCACTCCCATCATGATGGGGTCCTGAGGCCCACGGTCCGGCCTGGAACACCTCCTGACTTCATCCTCAAGGTGTGTCGGGGTGGGAAGTGATGGAATGGTTTTGTCTGCTGTTCTGCTCAGACCTGTACTGCCTCTCCCACTCCCACTCCCAGAGCTTCTGGTCCCTACCCCCGTGCCTTGGTATGAGCAGCTGTCTGAAGATGGAAGCAGGCAGTAGGAGGGTGGAGGTGTCCTTCATGCCTGTGCTGTGGTGCTGAGGACTTCCCCCAGCCCTTCCCTGTTCCTCTGTAGGTGGTAATAGACAAACATCCCGTCCGGTTTTTTGTACACAAGAGGCCCCACGTGGATTTCTTCTTAGAAGTGGTGAGTTTGTGGAAGCCAAAGGGAGCTCTGTGCTGAAGGATTGGTTTTAGGGCTCTAGGAATTTAGAGGATTTGGAGAAAGTAAGGAGGGAGGAGCAGTGGGTAAGGGGAGTTTCGGAGAGGGGAGGTTGTGGGATGGTTGGAGAGTAGCTTTTAGTAGTTTGGTTCTTTTGTTGTGCTGATGTAATTTTATTCTTCCTGCTCATTTGTTCTTGCATCTCCGAATCTTAAGGGTGTATGGTGCTTGAAACTCTGAGTTTGAAGGTTTGGGGGCATTCAGAATTTTGTGTCCCCAGAGACATTTGATGTTGCTATAAAGCCTAAAGGACTAGGTTGGAGTCCTAGTGAAAGAAAACTGTGTCTAAATGAATGGTCACCTCTTTTGACACCTCCCTCTCCCATGATCTGTTTCAGGTAAGCCAGTGGTACGAGCTAGTGGTGTTCACAGCAAGCATGGAGATTTATGGCTCTGCTGTGGCAGATAAACTGGACAATAGCAGAAGCATTCTCAAGAGGAGATACTACAGACAGGTAAAGGGCTAGAATGCAGGTCTAAGAGTGAGGCTCGGGAGGCAGACCACCAGGGAGGGGTCTGAGTTGGAGGTAATTTCCCTGGAATCGGACCTTGAGGGGGATGTGGGTGTCATACTACATAATCCCCTTTGTGGGAGCTGTTGCCCAAGGCCATGTTGGGGTTGGGGGAGCTGTCACAGAGGGCGAGTCTCCTTTTGATGCCTAGCTCACCCTGCCTTCCAGCACTGCACTTTGGAATTGGGCAGCTACATCAAGGACCTCTCTGTGGTCCATAGTGACCTCTCCAGCATTGTGATCCTGGATAACTCCCCAGGAGCTTACAGGAGCCATCCAGGTATGGGGGAAGGTGGTGAGTCTGGCAAGACCAGGAAGTGGTTCTGAGGAGGTATTTTGAATTCCTGGAGCTGGGATTCCCTGGCTTATCATAGGTCAGGATGCAAGTTGTTAACTCTTTTAAATGAGATGACCCCCCTCTCCTACACATGCATTTTATTAAATCAGATTTCTCATATCAAATTTGCTTCAGGTGAGACACCATGGCAATAAATTTGACTAGAAGCCTCACGCTGATGTGAGATATGGTGATTAAAATTTAATTTTATTTTGGAGGATAAATCAGGAAGGTTTTACTCAGGTTGTTGAGTTGGGATGGATGAGAGGGAGGTATATATTTTAAAGTAATGATTCCCACCCCCAGATAAAAGGAAAAACACCCTCTCTTGAATTCTGTGATTCTTCTCATATGCATTTTCACCCACCCTAGACAATGCCATCCCCATCAAATCTTGGTTCAGTGACCCCAGTGATACCGCCCTTCTCAACCTGCTTCCGATGCTGGATGCCCTCAGGTAAGGGAAGCTAGACATTTAGATTTCTGAGGAAAGGAGGAGGTGGGGGATCCCAAGAGGGAATAAAAGTTTGTCCTGTTTTACTTACTTATCTCTCTTCCCTTAAGAGTTTAGCATTTGAACTCAGTTTTTCTTACATTAAAGCTCATCAATTTTAGCCATTGGGTTTTGGGCAAACTAAACCCCAGTCTCATCATGTGAAAATGGCGATCATTTCTGCCCCACATCTCCAGTGAGGCTGCCCAAACACTGGTGTGAGACTGTCAACTATAAGGACTCTACCAATGCAAGTTATTGTCATCCCAGGTTCACCGCTGATGTTCGTTCTGTGCTGAGCCGAAACCTTCACCAACATAGGCTCTGGTGACAGCTGCTCCCCCTCCACCTGAGTTGGGGTGGGGGGGAAAGGGAGGGTAAGCCCTCTGGGATGCCAACTGATACCCTGTCCAATGGTGAGGACTGCCCGGGCAGGGTCTGCCCCTCCCACCCCTCTCCTCTGTATGGAGTCTGGATGGACACATGGGCCACACTCTGAAGCAGCCTCACTCTAACTTCGTGTTCGCACTCCCTGGAAACCCCAGACTGGGACATAAGCGGAAGCCTAGGAGAGCTGAAACAGTGTATCTGGTGGAGAGAGAGGACTGGCCAAAGTGAGACAGACGTTTGGTAATCCAGGAGGCTCAAAGAAAAGCCAAGCCAGCTTTGTTGTGATTTGATTTTTTAAAAACTCTTGTACAAAATTGATCTAATTCTTCACTCCAAGGGCTGGGCTGTGGGTGGGAAACTGGGATTTTGGGCCACTGGATTTTCCCCAAACATGTCCTCCCTTCCCCCATATTTTTCCATTTCCCCTTCTTACTAGATTCCCTCAGACCTGTAACCAGCCTTCTCTTTATTTTCCTTCCTCTCTTTTAAACCATGCATTATAACTTTGAAACAAAGTTGCCCTAGGTCCTTCTGTGGGATATGGGAAATGGAGGGTATCTTTGTTCACATCCACCCTGTTCCCTAGGCAGGGAGGAGAGACTGCTGTTGGTCCCGAAGCGCAGGGGCGAAAGGTGGTGGTGGCGTTGCGGGGATGGAGTAGTCAATTTCGACATCATATGCTTTGGCGCGAAGGGTCTTAAGTGATGGGATGGGTGCCTTGGCAGGGAGTGAAAGGACAGCTGTGTATGCTGAAGGAACTTGAACTTCGGGGCAGTAGGACACAGTATGAAGGGAGGAGAAACCTGGACGCAAGAAGGGCACATAGCTGGAAAAGCTGAGCTGTGACTGGGGGCTTGACGTGGACATTCTAAGCGGGCGCTGCCCCCAGGCGGCGGTGTCCAGGGCACCCGCTCAGCTGCCCGGGCCGGCTCCGCCTCTCTAGTGCCCTCCCCGAAGCCGGATCTACTTCTTCGCACCCGCCACGTGACGCTCCGCCCTTCTCTGAGATCACATGATTTCAGTGACCCATACTCTGAAAATGTCCTTCCGCGCTGACGTAGTCCCTACCTTTCGAGACCTCCTCCACGGTCCCTGTTGGCCCATTCATTCGTAGAGCTCAAGTGTTCTGAGCGTTTCTCCAAATACGTATCTCGTTTCTGTCCTTTTTTGTATCCCGATACCACCTCCCCCCTCGGGTACTACTTTGTTTTGGTGTCAACAGCCGCCTTCAGCGTATCAACACGTTTTGTGAATAGCTATCCTTGTAATGAACTCCTCTTCCCCCAAACCCCCCCGGTCCCCCATCGTTATTTCCAAAAAGAACTTTTAGAGAACGAGGTTTCAAATTATGATTACCATCTCCTAAGCCCTTTTCGTCCAGCTCCGTGGGAGAACGGTCGGAAAATAGATTTTCAGGGATTCTTTTGACAATAGCTAAAGCCAACCACCTTTGCTACGCCGCCTGCGTAGCCCACAAATTGATTCCAAAGCGATTACGCTGACGGCGTGAGGTGGAGGGGTAGTCAGTAGGGGCGTTAGGGCGGCTGCGCTAATGGCGTAACATGGCAGGCGGGAGGTCCCGGATGGTCGGGGGCGGGGTTGGTGAATAGGGAAGTGGCGTAAGTCCTGGGATCGCTCCGCTCTATCAGTCCGCGCGTCGCAGCCGTTGCCGCCGCCCCCCGTCCCGGCCCCCGCCCCCGGGATCCCTCAGCCCAGCCAGGTCCAGCCCGGTTCCCGGGAGGATGAAGTTCGTGTATAAAGAGGAGCATCCGTTCGAGAAGCGCCGCTCTGAGGGCGAGAAGATCCGAAAGAAATACCCGGACCGGGTTCCGGTGAGGACAGTAGCCTGGGCCGAGGGCGCTGGCGCTGACGCCACAGCCTGGGCTTGGGTCCGGGACGGGCAGCGCGGGCATTAGGCTGCCGCCTGTGGCGGGGTTGGGAACGAGCCCGAAACTGCTGTTACTGGGGCCGGAGGGAAAGGTAGTTGGAGAGCTGGGGGTTAGGAGATGTAGATGGGAGAGAGAGAGAGAGACCTTTGGGATTCGTTTGGAGGGCTGTAGGGAGTTTGACAGGCTGAACTTCACATGGTCATTCGCCCCAGCTAGCTAGGTTTTTGAGATTGAAGCTGTAGTCGACCCAGACAAGTCATCCACGTATGATTAAGATAGTTGTCTATGATGAGGCCCTGCTCACGGATCCTGGGTGTTTAGATGAGTTCGAATCAGTGGGGTCTGAATCTGTACTCAGGGCTGCACAGTGTGTTCAGAGACGAAGAGAAATGAGTCGGGTAGGTTTGGGCACTAGGAATATTGCTGCTTGAGTTCTTGACAGACGGGGTTGTGGGGCTGTATACCTAAGGTCTCCTAATGTTCATTTTCCCTTTTTCCAGGTGATAGTGGAAAAGGCTCCCAAAGCTCGGATAGGAGACCTGGACAAAAAGAAATACCTCGTGCCTTCTGATCTCACAGGTGGGAACCTGACCCAGTTATTCAGGTTTGCTTCTTGCTGGTGGGAGTGCATTTTCTGTGGGAGGAGGCTTAGATAGCAGCTGTTCTTTTGAGGGCATTTGTGACCTCTGCACTTTATCACACCTTGTATCTTTGGCAGTTGGTCAGTTCTACTTCTTGATCCGGAAGCGAATTCATCTCCGAGCTGAGGATGCCTTGTTTTTCTTTGTCAACAATGTCATTCCACCCACCAGTGCCACAATGGGTCAACTATACCAGGTATGGTGACTGGGAAGTTCTGGAGGTTTTGAAAAGGAGTTGGAAGAGCTTCAGGGGAAGAAATTTTAGGTCAGTAGTTCTTGGACTAGCTGGCTTGCTCAGCTTTCAATTTTATGTTTGGCCTTAATAATTCCAGATAGTCCTGGGTTGGGGGTTTGGACAGGGCAGTGGGAGTAAAGAGAGGGAGCAGTGAGCTGAAGCATCTGTTCTGATCTGGACCCCACCCCCACCCCCAGTTCCCTCCCCAGTCCAAGGCAGCAGAGAACAGTTCGTATTCTTTTTGCCTAGAACTGCTGCTAGGGATAATACACCGTTTGGCTCCTGGGGCCTAGAGGAGGTGAGGGAGAGTCAAGGCACTGATATTTAGGGTTTTCAAAAAGAATGGTTTTTAAAGAATGTGTCTGGGTGGTGGGTGGTTTAAGTAACTAAAGCCCAGGTGCCAGAGCATCATCATTTTCTGCTCTCACCCCAGGAACACCATGAAGAAGACTTCTTTCTATACATTGCCTACAGTGATGAAAGTGTCTATGGTCTGTGAAGCTGCTGCGCCTGAGGTTGGGGGGTCTTATTCTACAAAAAGAGAGGTGGCCTCCCTTCTTGACCTACTACTCCTTCAGGTTCAAACACCACCTCCCTTCTTCAGGACCTGCACTTCTTAATGCTTGAGGCCCTCCTCCAGCCTCTCAGCAGGAGGGGCTAATGGGGGAGATGGCCTCTAGTACCTCTCCTTTCTCTCTTCTTCCCCTTTCTCTACCACCTTTCCCACTCTGCTTTAGACTTCTTGATTGTCAGTCTCACATCCAGTGAGTCTTTTGGTTTCTGTTCCCCTTCTAACTGCCCAAGGGGCTCAAATCCCCAACAATCTCTTCCTCTTACTGTCTACTTTTTTGCCGGTAGATGGAAGGGACTGAATTGTCCAGGAAGGTAGGAGGCACATCAATAAAAGAGGAAACCACCAAGCTGAACTGGATTTTGCTTTGTGTTGCTCCCCTCCCCCCCTTTTTGGTCATCAGTGGTGGGGAAAGGGAGTTGGAGGGATAGTTATGTTATTTTGGTTTATTCTGTTGATGTTGGGTTTTTCCTTGTACAAAAAAGAGTGCTTTTGTTGTGACGGATGGAATACTCTTCAGTATCATTTCATGAAACTTCAGTTTTATATGCGTATTGGGTCCTGACATTAAAAAAAAAATACTGTGTTTTATTGTGGGTTCCTGTGCAGAAACTTTGAAAGTACCTAATTTAGATGAATATATCCAAGTTATAACATTTTGGATTAAGAGATTTTTGTGTGGGGAAGCTGGTAAAAGGACCCTATCTTCAGTTGCATCTCACTTAGCCAGACTGTGCGATCCAGTGGAGAGGCACCCGAGGGAGGGAGAAGACTGGATCCGGGAGCTGTTATTAGGGGAACTGCATCTCCCAGCAACCACTTCTCTGCCTGGCCGGAAATGGGGCGGACCCCTTGGGGAGAAAGAAGCTGCAGAATGAGACAGTATGGTGACTGGGAATTCTAATCCCTTTTTCCCCTTTATTAGTCCTGCGTAGCCTACACTTCCCAAGATCCTGTGCATGCCCTTCTGCTCTACCCTCTGCTCCCAATCTCCCCGCCACTCCCCGGGGGAGGGGAGCGGTCTGGTGCGCCTGCGCTGATCGTGGCTTGCTGGGAATTGAAGTTCCAGGAGCCTATGCAATCCTCTTTCCGTTGTCCCCGGAAGGACTACAAGCTCCTTGATGCATTGCGCGTATGCGCCCGCGAAAGGAGGGGGAGGAGGAGAGAGAGAGGGAGGGAGCAGGCGGCCGGCGGTGCGGGGGGAGGGGGCCCGGTCCGGGAGTGCGGGAGGCAGTGGTAGAGGGAGGTGGCGGTGGCGGCAGCGGCAGCGGCTAGCGGACTCGAGTCACAGCCGGACCTAGGCAGATACCTCTGTGGAGCAAGGTGGTCGGGGCACCAAGCACCGGAGGCAGCACCGGGATCCCCAGCTCGGGAGGGGAGCGCCGGACCGGGAGGAGGGGAGGGGGCGATGCTGGAAGCCATGGCGGAGCCCAGTCCCGAAGGTGAGCTGAGCCGGCGAGGGGCGGGCTAGAAATCAGTCGGCAAACTTGGAGGTCGAGCCCCGGAGCGCAGCAGGGGAGCGCGCGGAGGGGGTCGTGCGGCCTGCCCCCGGAGGTTGGAGAGCGACTAGTTGAGGGACCTGGCTGAAAGAGGAGTGGGAGACTAAGCTGGGGGTAGTTGGAGATGAGACAGTGTGTGGCGGGGGTTGAGGGGAGTGGGAGCTGGAAGCCCGGAGCTTCGGGGGTTAGGGGCCGAAAGGGCCTCGGGCGGATTGAGTGGCCCTGGAGCTGGGAGGTTGGGGGGATTTGGAGGCTGGAGAGTTGTTGAGGGGGGGAGGATGTAAGAAGAGGACTGAGGAGCCCGGTAGCTCGCCGAGGTGGGGGAGTTTGTGGCGGTGGTGCCGGAGCTCCTGGGAGTTGCGCCCGAGCTAGCCCGGTGATTGTTGGAGGGGTGGGCAAGATAGTTGTGGGGAAAAGAGGGGGTCTGGGTATTGTCTGCGGTAGAGCGACCTGTACCCGGGAGTAGTCTGTGGGGGGAGAGAGCCGGAAAGCGAGGAGAGCCGGGTAGTTGTAGGGGCGGTGGGGCGGGGTGGGGGTTAGGACCGGCGAGTTGCGGGAGGGGGGTTTTGGTTGGCAAGGGTTAGAACCTGGGAGTTGCAGAGGGTGAGGGGGGCAGGGGCGGCAGCTGCGGGGTTTGATAAGGAGGAAGAAAGCTGGTGGGGGGGGCTAGAGTTTAGGGGTCCGTAGCCTAGTGACTTTGTAGCGAGTACGGGGGCGGAGGGGGGGGGGCGGCGGCGGCTGGAGAGCGGTAGGAACTGGGCCCGGGGGCCCGGCGGGGAGCCCAAAGAGCTCGAGACGGGGAGGGGCCAAAGCCCCGGATGGGGGCGGAGGGACGGCGAAATTGTGGGGAGCGCGGTATGGGGGGGCAAGTGGGGCCGCGTCCGGGTTAGAGCTCTCTGGTCTGTCCCGGACGCGAAGTGGCGTTGGATGTGTGTTTAGGGTGGGGGTGAGGGGCGCGCCGGGCCTCGTGCTCGAGTAGAAGGGGCCGGAGGGCGGGGAGCGGTTCAGCGTGGTCATCCTGGACCCAGAGCGCGGGCGGGCCGCATGTGCGGTCGCAGAGGGCCCGGACGATAGAGCGCGGCAGGGTAGAACTCGGGCCACTGGGCGTGTGTGAAGGACAGAGGCAGGCGGTATCCCGGGCTCGGTAGTGGAGCGGTATGGCGGGGTGGGGCGCCGAGTGAGCCCAGTAGACTGGAGTCTAGAGAAACCGTGAGTTGCCGGGGGGATGGGGGACGGGGCGCCGGGCCTCCGGAGGGGGGAGGGGAGCGCTATAGCGAGGCTTGAGGTGGCGCCGCGCCCAAGCTCCGCCCCTCCCGGGGCGGAAGGGGGAGCAGGGGCGGGTCCAGCACAGCTGGGGACCTGCTGGCCTGGCTGAGGGACCTGGGAGAGGAGGGGGATCTACTTGGAACCTTGGGACCTTCAGGGTTTAGAGGTGGGGTTTTATACAAACTCTTTCCTAGTGCCTTGACTCAGCTTTTGTTTTCACAGATCCACCTCCGACCCTTAAACCAGAGACTCAGGTGAGGTTCCCTTTACCTTTGCAGCCTAGTGTTCCTGCCGATCCTCCCCACCCTCCAACTCTCCTCTTCTTCCTACCTTTTCCAGATTCCTCACCCCAGGGACTATGCCTTTAAGGAGTGCCCTTAAACTCCATGTGATACATGTTTCCTTCCTTTCAGCCACCAGAGAAACGTAGGAGAACAATTGAGGATTTCAACAAATTTTGCAGTTTTGTTTTAGCCTATGCTGGTTACATTCCCCCCAGCAAAGAGGTAGGGACAGGACGACAACTGACTCGAGGGGTGGTGGTGTCTTGGAACTATAGAAGAACTGTTTAGCAAATAGGTCTGTATTTAGGGGAGAAATCAATCATTATATATATATATATATAAGGGTGGGGCAGTTGAAAATTGGAATCTGGGGTGGGGGTGGGATTGGTAGAGATAGGTAGCTTGATCAGCAGTGAATGGTCTTGGGGCACTATTAATGGAAGGTGCTCTTGGATTAACTTTTAGTAAGCTGAAAATGGTAAAAAAAAAAAAAAAAAAGGGCTGTACAGAAACAGCTAAAGAAACGCAGCTTTGGTCTGGGGATACAATGTTGTCAATGCAGTGGGTACTGGGGAGATGCCTAAAATTTGAGCCCTGAGTGCTCAAGAGCAGGTGCTTATGGAAATTGGGGTAGGAATGCATTTTCTGAGTACAATGAGATTTGGTGGTTTGGGCAGGATATTTTGGCATAGCTGTAGTGCCTGGTTTTTAATCTTGAGTTTGTAGAAGGGCTGAGATGACTTTGGGCTGCCTTCTGACTCTGGTCTCTTCCCCCTTTTAAGGAAAGTGACTGGCCAGCCTCTGGCTCCAGCTCTCCATTGAGAGGTGAGAGTGCAGCAGACAGTGATGGCTGGGACTCCGCCCCCTCAGATCTCCGAACCATCCAGACCTTTGTTAAGAAAGCAAAGTCATCCAAGAGAAGGGCAGCTCAAGTAGGTCCTACCCAGCCAGGACCCCCAAGGTCCACTTTCTCTCGTCTGCAAGCCCCTGACAGTGCCACCCTGCTTGAGAAGATGAAGCTCAAGGACTCTCTCTTTGATTTAGATGGGCCCAAAATGGCATCTTCACTGTCCCCCACATCCCTGACCCATGCTTCCCGGCCCCCTGCTGCTCTTACCCCAGTACCCCTTTCTCAAGGGGACCTCTCCCAGCCGCCTCGAAAGAAGGACCGAAAGAACCGGAAGTTGGGGCCAGGCGGGGGTGCTGGCTTTGGTGTGCTTCGGAGATCTCGGCCAGGCCCTGGGGATGGGGAAAAGAGGTCTCGAATCAAGAAGAGCAAGAAGCGGAAGTTAAAAAAGGCAGAGCGGGGGGATAGACTCCCACCTCCTGGGCCTCCCCGGGCACCCCCCAGTGATACAGACTCTGAAGAGGAGGAGGAGGAAGAAGAGGAGGAGGAGGAGGAAGAGATGGCCACAATGGTAGGGGGTGAAGCCCCAGCCCCTGTGCTGCCTACACCCCTCGAGGCTCCTAGGCCCCCTGCCACAATGCACCCTGAAGGAGCCCCTCCTACTGACAGCGAAAGCAAGGAGGTGGGCAGCACTGAAACAAGCCAAGATGGAGATGGTAGCTCCAGTGAAGGCGAGATGCGGGTCATGGATGAGGACATCATGGTAGAATCAGGTGAGAAGTTTAAGGTTGCCCAGGGATAGCTGGGATGGTGGGTTTGGGGCTGTTGTGGATCCAAAAGCTCAGAACACCAAACAAACCCTTCTTTTCCCCAGGTGATGACTCATGGGATCTGATCACGTGTTACTGCCGAAAGCCCTTTGCCGGGCGGCCCATGATTGAGTGCAGCCTGTGTGGGACGTGGATCCACCTCTCCTGTGCTAAGATTAAGAAGACCAATGTCCCTGACTTCTTTTACTGCCAGAAATGCAAGGAACTGCGGCCAGAGGCCCGGAGGTTAGGGGGGCCTCCTAAATCTGGAGAGCCGTGATACTGCCATCTCTAGGCTGGAACTTCCAAACGACAATGTATCTTGAGAACTAAGCCTCAGGGTCCTGAGCCTAATCCCTGGAGCTTCGATTATTGTCCCACTTCAAGGCAGGAATTCCCAAGGGAGACTGGTTTGAAAATGAGTGTCCCATGTTTCTACCCAACCTACCCTTCCTTTCTACCTTGTGGACTTGAACGTGGGCCCGTTACAGTTGGGGATGGGAGGCTGTCTGGGTCCCTAGACACTTAATCTCTGCCCCTCAGACCTGCTGCCACTTCTCACTTCTCTGGGCCAGGGTTGAAACTGGGATGGAAATGGGACAGTCTATAAAACTCTAGTGTAAATACAGCACTCCCCTCCATCATCTATC